CAGATGTGCGAGAGGGACGCAGCCACGCAAATGCGGCTTGATCCAAATGCTAGATTCAATTCTGCTCAGATTAGGTTCTCCTTCTTTCCTTTGAAGACATTTAACCTTTGCCACATTGGCCGGAAAGTAGAACATTGAAGGAGGTACTGCCCCTACACAGTTGAACAGTCTCGCGCTCCAGTATAGCGGCGCTAACTACCCGCGATCGCGTCGCGCGCTGTGCCTAGAGCGCGCTAGTTGGAAAAATCGTCAAATGTACCCCTATTTAAAGGACTATAACTTTCTTCATTGATAACCATTTCAAAAAGTGAAGGCAGCTTTTGAATGCACAAGACTTCTAGTTTCTAAATTGTGCTGAGCGTTTTTCTAAGCACACCTATTCTCGAGAGTGGGAGACGTCGAGAAATTGTCGAGGAAATTGAAAATTTACATGCGAGTTCCCACTCTTTGGAAGACAGTAGCTGTCTTCATTGGCAATGCTTTGAAAATCCGAGGAAAGCGTTGTAAAGTAGAAGATTCACGCTTTTTAACAGGTGCTCCATTTGTTTCGAACGCTTTCTAGTTCGCGAGAAATCTGCGTCGAGGAAATGTCAAGGAAATTTTCGAAGCCACTCGAAAACTCTATTACTCCCTCGCCGTAGTAGGGGACTTCTTTGAACACCTTCAAAATACTTCTATACACGTCAGTTCGATGGAGTAAATTGAAAATGATGCACTTGGCGCAGGATCCATTCCGTTCTTGTATGCGCCATGCAGTGACCCCACTCGGAGTCATTGGGAAGGTGTTTTGTCCTAGTGACGACTTGCTTAAGCACACCAAAAGATATTTCCAGTATTAACTAATTAGGACAACTCTTGTGGTCATAGTGATGTCTGATCATTCCTTTATTCAAATCGCTTCCTTTCCAATCCGTTCTGATGAATGACACGCTTGCGGTTGCATTATCTGATGATGCCAAGAAGGCTGCGAATCTGCCTGTTTTGAACTTTCTACCAAGATGCTGTTTCCTCCACTAAGTTCTCGAAGCATGTACATCATTCTAGAGTAGATACTCGCTGCCCTTTCCCTACGATTCTTTTGCAGGACGCGTTGCCTTCCTATGCACTACGAACCAAACCAACACCACTTTCCATTTGAATTTTAATTCCAGACAGGTGTAAGATATTATTTGCATTAGGCTAACTACAACACTTGTGAAAGTAATGATGACAGCAAATAAGTGGCAGCAGCACCGTTGTGTCCGTTGATGACCCTTTTGATTACGACCCCCTCCCAACTCTCATCGGAGCAAATACGACCCCCTGTCGAGGATTTCCTCGACCGTTATTCACCCTGCTACAGAGGAGACCTCACTAGAGAGTGAGTTCATTAGTTGACCCCGCATTCAAATCCAGTTTATGTATCCAATACTTAGAGAGTTCTGGGCAATGTGCTAGACTTGCTTAATGTTAGTGACTGTTTACTTGACTGTTCTGTTGGGTTATACATTATTTAAATCAAATAAACGGATCAAGTGATCTTTCACCTGCCTTCATTAATTTCGAAAAATCTAAAATTTTCTAAACCCAAATTTGAGCTGAAGGTTGAAATTTTCTGTGTGGATCATAAAACACGTAGTTAATAATTGTTGCAAATTTGGAGACGTTCCAGTGACTTTCAAAAGAGAAATCATGAAAAAACCGTTTGTTCATAAATTTCTGGCCACTACTGTATACTGCCAAATATTACACATAAGAAAATGAAAATTTTCATCGCAAGTTGTTTGTTTGTTGTTTGAATGAACTCCCACTGAACAAATGTATAATATGTAGTTAAAACACAAATATGTAATATGTAGTTGTATGAATGCATGTGCTAGCACGTATTCAAAAATCACTATAATTCTGAAGTTGAATGCGTGGCGCATCCAAGAACCAAATTGATTCACATGGAGAATTTTGTCGTTTTTTTACACGAATTCTTGTTTGTCTTCAAACAAAATCATGCAGAACGATATGTTGCAGAAGAAATTTTCTATAAAATTTCTTTAGAATGAACAGCTGTGTTCATAGACCTAAGGATTTTTGGCCCGTAGGATTGTTGTTGTGCCAGCGATATGAATGTTTATCTTGCAGCTTGTTATTTTCCAGTATCATTGAGTTATGTTCTAGGCATTACACGTCGACGACGTCCGTGGCAATGATGCCCTTTCTTTTCGTCAACTTACACTGGTGACCTTCTCACAGACACCACGAGTTACTATGGGATCAAACCAAAATACGCTCCACTCCACAGCGACAGGTAATATTGATTAGATCAAGCAATTGCGCTCACGCGATTTGTCAACTGTATCGCGCACAAGGCTCCATGATGAGGTCGTAGGTCGAAAACGGGGAAATATACCGACGAAACGCTTGCGAGCCCCCTAGGGTGCACGACGATGCACGTTACGTCGCAACAGTATACTGCCAGCGGGTTAGCAGTGCTACACCCGCGCGACGGTAAGCAACCAAGCCTTTTGGCACATCGGCTGGGGACCGTAATGTGACATGTATGGCGAGGGGATGGTGTCCCTTTACTTGGAGGTTAGCAACTTGCTATACGTGTCGGTTTTGTTTGTTTGTTCTGCTTAGAACCTGCATCAATTTGCTCTTGACCTGTTAGAACTAAGCCTTAATAAGGAGAGGACGGGTCCGTCCCCTCTCCTAGGCTTAGTCCAAGGGTGAGCAGACCGGTCCTTCTGGCGAAGCTACTGGACCAGCTGCACCACTTGCGTCAGTACTCTCCTATCGTACCAACCGAGTTGAAGTAAACCGTCGACCGTTGGGGACCCCATCCCCTCCCCAACATTCAGCATACGGTCCCAGCCGATGTGCCAAAAGGGCTGGTTTGCTTACGTCCACGAGCCGCTTATTAGAGCAGAAACGCCAGAATGAAGGCTCGCCCATCATCGTAGGTCTCAGCCATTTGCAAGCAAAGAGAGCGGTTGAAAGAGAGAGCACGATGAGTAAGTGCCATAATTTGGAAATCACGGCTAAGTGGTCCATTTCTCGGGTTCTGGATACCCTAGTTTTTCGCAGCTGTTGGAAAGGGGAGTCTGTCCTCGGCCTTGTCGACGGTTTCTTTTCGTTTTTTCTTCACTTCGCCGTTTCATTTCGCATCTCTACTCAGTTTCAAGCGCCATAATATCTCAAATCGAGCCAAGCCTTTGCCATTGAAGGCGGTGTCTGAGATCCGATCAACTGAAGTGATCGCTCTCGCGGATAGGGGTATGTGCTTCGCTGCTGCAGAGACGCGCCACTCACACATGGAAACGCACACTGAGACGCTAGGAGCGGAGGACTTGAAGTATCTCACCAAACTTATCCGAGGAGCCCACGTTTGATATTGAATCTCGTGCAAGTTAACCGTCGTCTCTTCACTTTGGAATTTCTTCCGTCCTCCACACTTCACACATTATCTCCGTGCAGCCTCTTAGAACTCTCTGTAGAGTAGAGCAAGAATTTTAATCAATTTTCTTTCCCCTTTTCACCACATAACCATCCCACTCCTACTTTCATATCTGAGTGAGATCTAGCATCAGGTGATTTGACCTGATCCGTGCCTTTCATTGTAGCTTCGCAGATTTTTCACAGCAAAGGCTACAGAATTTTTCAACTCACGTCAATGTTAGTGGATAGCAACCGGAACGTTCCCTTTGCAAAATTCTTCTCTCGCTCACACTTCTCTTCGCTCGCTGTTTTTCATGAAAAGCATAGCAACACCGACTTGAACACTGAGTGACACCACAGTGGGATTTTAATACATAACCCATGACAAACGGGTAGTAGTCTCTAACCAAATTCCAAACGGGCGCTATCGCATATACGTTGCGTCCTACTACACCTAGGAGGGGCCAAGGTGACCAAGTGCTCTAAGGTAACGAAATTGCCACCTCAATTTGCACCGTATTTTGTAACAGCTTCTCCAAGCAAATTAACAAATTCCTGCAATTACTACCAGTTCCTTGCAACTAATGGTTCAATAAACCTTCAACCGATATGCACTAGACGGCTTTTCTTCCAAAGTGGTAGAAGAAGGCCCTCGTTTTCAAGCCCATATAATGTGCTTCACTGGGATACGATTTCGAAACTTTATTTTGTTTAGTTTTCAACATAAACGCATGCCTGATAACGCATAGATAAGTCGCGGTTTTAAATCCAGTGAACACAACTATGTCAACTCAACAAGTTGAACATTCGCGCTGAGTAATGAGAGAATCGCTTAATGCATAAAACTTTTCTATCCATAAAATTTTCGTGATGAAGAAAGTTATAACGATTTACTGAAAGTAAAAGAAGTTGCCTGAAAGAAATCACAATAAATCCTATTCCAACAAATGAAGAACACAGACACTGCATTGAAAATGATGACAGATGAGGAAGGAATCAATCGAACGAGAAAAGAACTTGCAAAGGACATGAATCAGAGCATTTGAGAGAACGAATATTTGAAGACTCCTAGATCAAGTGCTAAGAAAAAACAGTATGACGTATGATACAGTTACCATAACGTTTTCATCAAGTTAATCACATGGCACTGAAAAGGAAGAGATAGACAGCGAGAAAGATAGGGCGAGAGCCGGTGAGAGCGAGAGCAAGGAACAGACCGCAAGTGGAAGCAGGACGGTGACGTGGTCACCCTCCACGCTACCACCTTTCGCTGAGTCAGTTAACCACGCACTGCCCGAGGGCAGTCAAAAGAATGAAGGGATGACCGGGCTTTTACGTAATAACGCCGTGCTTAGTAGACAGATATACATGAGACGAATACAGACGAAAATGAAACAAAGACAAACGATGAAAGAGCTAAAATCACTTAGTAGTAGTGAACATTAACAAAAAACCTTCCCTAACGATTCACGCGTGATGAATTAATGAATGAAACAGTGGCTAGAAATGATCGTGATCAGTTAACAGCGCTTTGTGAGTTCTATTAAATTACGCGACTTCTCTATATAAATTATCATATAATTATAGAACTACATAATAACACACGACTTTTGTTTTCCATCAACAGAATATCGTAGCTTACGAAGTTCACCAGTCGGCTTATACTTTTCGAGAAAATTGAGCTGTTTTTGGTTCAAAGCACCCCGTCTTTGTCTGAAAGCAATATTG